ATAGTTCTTGATGCATACCTGAAATCCACATACTTGGGAAGCTGAGGCAGGAGGATTTCCAGTTTGAAGTCAGCCTGGGCTACATAGGAAGTTCAAGGCCAGTCTTCGTTACATAGTGAAACTTTGTCTCAAAAGAACCTGAAACAGAAAAGCATGTGCATGTATATTAGATATGTTTTGTCTGTGGCACAAGCGAGTAAAGGAAAAGAAATAATGGCTTTTCATAATGAACTTGTCAAATCAACTGTCTTTTAAATTTTAATTTTTTTAATTGTGTGTGTGTATGTGCATACATGTGTGCAGGTGCCCACAAAGTCCAGTCCATCTTCTTTTACATGTTTTATTTATTCTATATGTATGAATGCTTTGCTTGCATGTATGCAAGTACATCATGTGCATGCAGTGCCCTGGGAGAAGAAGAAGAAAATGTAGGATCCCTTGGAACTGAAGTTACAGATGGTTGTGAGCTACTGTGTGGGTGCGGGGAAATGAACCCAGGCCCTCTACAAGAGCAAATGTTCTTTTATTTTTTATTGATTTTTTTTGGTGTGTATGTCATACAGAACATCCCAAACAATCTTAGTCATCTTTATGCCCCCATCCCAAATGGCACCCTCCCATACCCACCCCCACTGGAGCCCATATACTCTGTCACCCTGTTACTGCCCATTGTGTTGTCAGTGCCCCCAGCTGTTTCCCAGTGCAAGTCCACTGATCCTAGTCATCGTATCTAGAGTCCCTTGTTTTAGGAAGATCAGCTCTCCTTCATCTAGGAGCAATCGGTTGCCAACATTCTTTTAGATAAGATTGGGGTCTGCTGTTCATTTTCCCAGTTCTATGCTGGGTTACTGTCTGCCTGAGTTTGCATGGGACTTGTGTATGTGGACACCTATGCCATAGAATCATATAAGCAGGTTCCCAGGAGCTTGTAGGACTCTGTTTCCATATGGTTATGCACATCCTCCCTGGCTCTTACAATCTTTCTGCTCCATCTTCTGCAATAATCCTTGAGCCTTGGGTGGGTGAAGTTTAATAAAGGGGTCCTGTGCAAGGACCATTATTTAGCAGACTCTTGATCTCTACGATTTGGCCATTTGTGACCTTTTGTGTTCCTGGCCCTCCGCTGCATGAGGGAGCTTCATTATTGAGAACTGATTCCTTAATGTCCTCTCCTTTATCCCTGTTCTATGTTCCATGAGCCTTAGGTGTAGAGGTTGCATTGCAGATGTGTCACTTATGCCTGGGCAATTCATAGACAATGTCCGCGTGTGACAAGTTGTGGTACTTGGTATTAGTCTCTGACTGCTGCAAAGTGAGCTTGTTTGATGAGTGGTGACTGGGATATTTGTCTGTAAATATAAGGATACATATTTTGCACATAGTAAGAAATCACATTAGTCTAGCGATGTGCGAGTTTTGGGGTTTTTCTCTAAAATCTATGACCACTCTGGCCATGTGTATTAGGTTATATTACAGTACCACGCTTGAATTTCCTCCCTTTGAGTGGGTGTTTAGTCAAATTAGGTAGCTGTTGATTGCCCCCAAGACAAAAGTGCCACTACTGAACCGATGGAGTGTGGCTGTCCATATGGTCTGCCTTCACAGTTGTAGCTGCTGCTGCCTGATCCCGGACCCCAGGGCTGGTGAGGAGACTGTGTCAGTGGAGCTGCATTCAGATACAGGAGACCAGGTTCAGTGATGCAGATCTATCTTATTGAGGAATTTACAAGCTTATATAGGGTCCCTGGACCAATCAGACAAGGATACAACAACTATGCCATATATGGGCAGCCCAGGTTCCGGGACCAATCAGACAGGGATACAATGACTATGCCATATATCTGCAGCCCTGGTTCTGGTAAATCATGTGACCATGGCTGTTGTTATGCCCACATGCTGCAAGCTGTAGATAAACCACAACCTGGAATTTCAAGGGGTGGTGACTAGGGAGTGGCGAGCCTTAAGTATTAGCCCTGCAACTTGCCAAATGGAGCAATAATCACAAGGCGTTCCTCGTGGCTCCAGTGGTCGGGCCATTGCCTCAGGCCTGCTGTATTGCTGTCATTAGGACTTCCACTCTAGGATCAAGCCTGTCTCCCACAGTGGAGTATGCTATGCTGGCCATTCATGTGGTTATTTGGTCTTGAAGCTGGTGCTGGATCATTGGTTGATATTTTCCCTTGGCACTTTCATAGTGTTCTCCAAAGCTATGAGAGCTTGCCTTCAGGGGAAGTGGCTTCCATGTCAGATGCAGCTCTATTCCTCCATATCCTCTGTCTAATGTATGTTCTATCTTCAGCAGTAGGGTTTTATCTTCAAGTTCTGGGAGGCCGTCAAGGGCTGTGGCAATAGCCTGAGTAATTTTGGGAGTTTCTTGGATCACTCTGGCCAACAACTCAAAGAAAGGTATCTCCTGTCTGGCACTGTTTCTTGTTATGTAGCCTTTAGCTATACACATGGATGAATATAGAGATAATGTATTATAATTTGTCAGTAGGTTGTTGGACTAATATGGTTCCCTCTGGTTTTTAAAAATTAGCTAGGCATTATTTATCTCTCTCACTGTCTAACCCTTTCACCATGGTTTCCCCATTTAAAGTGCCCCTATTTTTCTCATTTCTCCCTTGATAATGACCTTCTCCTATGGTCCCACCTCTCTTGAGCTTCTTCTTTCCCTTTATCCCCAAGGTTCCTTTATTATCCTCCCTCCCCCTCCCATCTAAATAACCCCATTTTTATCTATATCTCCCTTAGTAATACCTGTTTCCTACTGTTCTTCTCTCTCAGGTTATTTCTTTTCCTTTACCTCCCTGGTTCCTTTTCATTATCCTGGTTTAGGTAGTTATGTCTGGATACATACTCACTCATAAAGATTTGGTGCTAGGATCCACATATGAGGGAGAACATATTGTTTGTTTTTCTGAGTCTGTGTTCACTTAGTATAACAGTTTCTAGTTTCATCCATTTAAATGCAAACTCCATGATTTCATCTACCTTTACTTCTGATTAGAACTCCATGTATAAATGAACCACATTTTCATTATCCACTCATCAGTTGAGGGACACTTAGGTTACTTCCATCTCTTAGCTATTGTGAAAAGAGCAGCAACAAACATGGATGTATAAATATCTTTGCAATAGGATGAGTTCTTTGGGTATATGCCAAGGAGTGGTATAACTGGGTCAAATGGCAGGTTCATTTTTAGTTTTTTAAAAAAATATTTTATTTGTTATTTTCATTTAATGTGTATGAGTGTATTGCTTGCATGTATGGGAGTGCACCCCTGTTGCACAATGCTGTGGAGGTCAGAAGAGGGCTTTGGATTTCCCTGGAACTGGAGTTAAGGATGGTTTGTAGCCACCATGTGGGTGCTGGGAATTGAACCCAGGTCCTCTGCAAGAGTAGTCAGTGCTCTTAACTGCTGATCCATCTCTCCAGCCCCTCATTTTTAGTTTTTTAAGTGTTCTCCACACTACTTTCCATAGGGGTTGAACAAGTTTGCAATCCCACCAGCAGTGGATGAGCATTCCCCTTTCCCTACATCCTCTCCAACATTTGGTATCATTGTTCTCTTGATCTTAGCCAGTCTGACTGGGGTAAGATGAAATCTTAAAGTGGTTTTAATTTGCATTTCCCTAATTATTAATGATGTTGAACACTTTTTTTTTTCTTTTTGAAGCAGGGTCTTCCTGTAGTCCCAGCTGTCCTGGAACTCACTATGTAGACCTGGCTGGCCTTGAACTCACAGAGATCCACCTGCCTCTGCCTCACAAGTTCTGGGACTACAGGTGTGTGCCACCATGCCTGACTGATGTTGAACACCTTTTAAGATGCTTCTTAGCCATCTTTATTTCTTCTTTTGTGAACTCTCTGTTCAGTTCCTTAGTCCATCTTTTAATTGGGTTACTTACTTTCTTGATTCTTTGTTTTTTGAGTTCTTTGTATAGTCTGGATATTAAAACCTCTGTCAGATGTGTTACTGGTGAAGATTTTCTCCCATTCTGTGGGTTTTCTCTTCACTTCTTTGGTTGTTTCTTTTGACGTTCAGAAGCTTTTTAGTTTAATCAGGTCCCATTTGTTGATTTTTGACCTTGTTTCCTGAGCAACTGATGTCCGGTTTAGAAAATCCTTTTCTACACCTATATCTGGTAGGTTATTGCCAATGTTTTCTTCTAACATTTTCAGAGTTTCTGGCTTCACATTGTGGTCTTTGATCCATTTGGAGTCGACTTTTGTGCAAGGTGAAAGATAGGGGTTTAGTTTCATTCTTGTACAGGTGGGAATCCAGTTTTGCCAGCACCATTTGCTGAAAATGTAGTCTTTTCTCCAGTGAATGTTTTTGGCCCCTTTGTCAAATATCAGGTGGCTGAAATTGCATATACTCATATTTGGGTCTTCAATTTTGTTCCATTGATCTACTGGTCTATTTTTGTGCCAGTACCATGTTGTTTTTATGCCCATACCACTGTAATATAGTTTAAAATCTGATATAGTACCCCCCCCCACACACACATCATTTCTCAGTGCTCTGGGTTGCTTTGGCTATCCAAGGTCTTTTGTGCTTCCATAT